AAGAGAAGCGAAACAGAGTTATTCTGCCATCTCTTCTGAGAAACCAGATATCATGGTTTTTCCCCTCCAATTCCCCATCTTACTTGGTAGCCACTATGTTAAGCTACCTGAACTATTTCCATTCCAGCTGTTTCTGATAAGAACTGTAACTTCAATAACTTGATGGAGAGCCAAGAGCTTGCTTTCTTCTTCTTCCTTCCCCCTTCGTTTATCTGTGTTTCATACCTTATAAACTTGAGGGCAAGGCCCTATTTTACTACTGATATTTATAAGCTGCTCTCAGAACTTGCCTTTTTCTCTTTTCTTTGCTAAGGAGCAGAGTTCAGAAATACTTCAAACAAACGGGAAAATGGAAAGGCTGCATTTGGAAGGAGGAGGAACACCAGCAAAGTGTGTTAGTGTTCTTAAAGACAGGATTGGAGAAACGTGGTTTTCTGGACCAAAAGGACTTGAAGGCCAGCAACAACTGGAGAACCAAATTCTTCCCACCTGTCTTCATCATCAGGTGGGGAAATCTGCTTCCTATAGGCCACTGTGCCAATGAACTTTTCAAGATTGGCCTTGTGACATTTCCTATTTGTAGCAAAAGTGGCTAACTCCTTCCAAATTCCCTCTTCTCTTCCTTCAGAGCTGAAGAAAGTTGTACACAAGCCATCCCTTTTTGTGTGAACATATACATTAAAAGAGAAGACAATGTGACTTCCAGTGAAAACATGGAGTGGCAAGCTGCATTCTAACAAGCTAGCTGGAATACAGGGCATTATGGGATAGTAGTAACTGTTTAAGAGTCAGAAATTCCTCTTCAGAAAGGAGAAAAGAACAGGTGCAAACCCTCAAAACTCGACAGATCCTACCTCCCCATTTTAGCATGATGGAACTGGAGGAGGGGTGAGAGAAGTAATGACACTGCACTCACTAGCAAATTGCTGTCAAGGAGGCAAAAGCTACTCCAATCCACTTCTTTGAAACACTGTATTTTTACAAGGATTACAAAACGGTTAAATGATGCCCTTAAATCTGCTGCAAATTTATCAATTTTATGGCAAATAACTTCTCTGAAGGTAAATCTACTTTTTTCATTATTTGAAAGCTAGAAAGACTTTTAAGAAGACTCTTAAATTTTAACAATTAAAATGAATGTTCTCTCTAAAACAGGGGTTCCCAACCTTTTTTTTGACCAGGGACCACTTGACCAGGGACCACTTTGGCCAGGGACCACGTTCCAACATCAGTACCAAAAGGGTTACAAATCAGTGTTTGGTCAACTGTGGATTCAGTTTGGTTATTTGGAGTGCTGATCCAGAAAAATGCATTGTATGGACCCCATCAGCAATAGTTTCTGATAAAGAACATGTGCCATCCACTAGTTGCCATCTGCTCACCCACAGAAAACTATATTTAATAATCTAGAGTTGATGTGATCTATCCAATGCAATTTTCTGAATCGGCACTCTAAATAACCCCAGGAACAGGCTTAAAAAGGAAGACACCAAGGTGCCCCCGGTTCCATGCACCACATAGAATGGCCCTGCTCAGGCGGAGGGAGGAGGAGAAGCAGCAGCAGCAGTCAGGAGGCTTGTTGTCACTCCTTTCGTGGGTAGTCAACCTCTCCCCTCCGATACCAGTCACTTTTGTTGCAACAGTGTAGTAACAGTGAGGCTGCGGACCATATTTTTGTTCTTAGGGACCACTGGTGGTTCATGGATCACAGGCTGGGAACCAATGACCTAAAATGACGTTTCTTTTCCAAACAATACCAATACTATTAAATGACACCTGCTTCAAATAGCTTAACAAAAATATTAGGAAATCCATTTGGAAAGACAAAAATACCCCCCAAGAATTAAGATGAAATCATTGAAAGATGCTAAAGTCAGAAGGGGTATGGCTCTACCAAACCGTAACTTATACTACAAAGCTGCAGCTCTAATTTGGATGAGAGAATGGATAACTCTAGATAAAACTCTAGATAATAAAAGACAACTGACATCAGAAGGATATGATTTAAGATAAGGATGTCAGGAATACTTAATAAATGAAAAGAAAAATCAATTGACTCTAATTTTAAGAGCCACCTGCTAAGAAATATACTAAACTGAGTATGGAAAAAGTACAAACCAAGACTCTACTTAAAAATACTTTTGTGGACATTTCTATAAGATGATATATAGATGGAAACATTTTTTTAAAAATGTTTGTTGGAAATGTCATCAAAAAAAGGAACTTTTCCCCTATGTGGCGGACATGTCCTAAAGCAAAAAAATAAGAAGAAATCTAGATTGCAATTCATAAGAACATTGAAAATACCTTAAAAAATTAAAGTACCACTAGAGCCAGAAGCCTTTCTATTGGGACTTACAAGTTCAACACTACCAAAACAAATCCTGATGCTCTTTTTATACATGGTACCTGCAGCAAGGATTATTTATGCTTACTATTGGAAACAAGACGAAATTCCTACCCAAGATTTGTAGATTAGAAAAATGTTGGACATGGTAGAGATGGACAAATTGATTATGCTTATACAATTGTGAGATTATTGCAGATTTGAAGAATAATGTCAACCTTTTATTGACTATTTAAAAGAATAAATGAAAAAGAAAATGTTGGGTTTTTTTATAGCATTAAGGATAAATTATTAGGGCAGGGATGTGGGAATAACAAGGAAAGAATAGAGAAGTCAGTGGCAAAAAACAGAATCCCTAATGATATCCAAGGGATCCTGGAAAGTTAATCTACAAGAGATAAATTTTATGTCAAAAATAATAGTTTTTTTTTAAAATGAAAAAAACAGCAGTGACAGTTAGAAAGATAGGGCTTACTATTTTTCATTTCCCAACATTTCTATCTCCTTTGTTTCAAAACACTATACACCCACTTTTCTATCCTTCTGTCTTAGATTATATAAAAGAAATGTGTTTTTTCTTTTCCTTTTTAACATCATAAAAACTTTTTGTATTAGATAACAATGGAAGAAGATGCAAGATGTTAAAAATGCCCCTGTTCTATATCCACTTTGTACCCTTCCCTATTGCTAATCTATTTTACAATAAACTTTTATTTTGGGGGAGGGGGAGAGAAAAGAGAATGCCATTTCCTGTCTTTTTCAAAGCTCTTTGTGAAAGAATTAGGACAGATTCTTCTCAGACTGTTTGATATAGGGAATGACATTTCATATGTATTATTTTCTGGGAATTCACAGTGGACTAGCATCCATGGACCACTTCTTTGAACAGTCTTGCCGTAGAGTGATGGTGATATTGAGAGGAATCCCAGTTTTGCACAGATGCATTGCATTGCATACCACCCAGTCAGCTCCACTGGCTGCCTGTCCACTTCCGAGCTCAATTCAAAGTATTGGTTTTGACCTATATAAAGCTCTATACGGTTCTGGCTCAGCTTACTTGTCCGAACGCATTTGCCTCTATGTCCCACCTCGTAACTTAAGATCATCCGGGGAGGCCCTGCTCTCGCTCCCACCATCACAAATGCGGCTGGTGGGGATGGGAGACAGGGCCTTCTTGGTGGTGGTCCCCCGCCTGTGGAATGCACTTCTGAGCGAGATATGATCAATTCCATCCCTCCTGGCTTTCAGGAAGAAAGTAAAATTGTGGCTATGGGACCAGGTTTTCAGTCAGCAGACATAAATTAGCACTTTAGTGGAAATGGATTGGAAAGGCGATTTACACGAGGATATGATTCTATTTGGTAACAAATGTTTTTATATTGTTTAATTAATGGTTTATGTATTTTATGTATTTTAATGGTTTGATGGTTTGTTTAATGGTTATTGTATTTATTGTTCATTCAATGGTATCGAATTGCAGCCTATGTAAGCCCTCCTGAGCCCCCCTTTTGGGGTAGAGAAGAGACGGGATATAAATACCAGAAATAAATAAATAAATCTGGCCCGCGACAATTGGCTCCCAGAAACACCCTCCACCATACCACATAGAGAAGCTGACTGGATTGGCACTTGCATTTTACTTCAACACTGACAAATGGACCTTCATTGAGGCATGCAGGGGAAATGGTGTGCAATACACATCTCTCTCCCTCATAGTTCAGCAGGAATGGCTGTGGGAACTGCTGCAAATGACCTCCAGCTTCTGCCTCCTAAGGTAGATGCTTTATTCTGTCTAACAGTAGGTCTGAACATGTCCTCCTCATAATCGTCCAGAAGGAACCCAAAGGCTCATGGCATACATGGAACCCTATGCCCGGAAGCTATTTCTAAGGTGGTAATAGAGAGCTCAGAGGGAATTTGAACCTTCTTTGTTCTGGAAGAAGAGGATTGGGAGCAGTCCTTCACACTAGAAACCCATGTAGTACATGATGGAGGAAACCCAATCCTCTTATTCACTTTTCCTTCCTTGGCTGGTGATGTGCGTAGGAATGTATAAGTTCCTCTCAATGATCTTCTTTCCGTCCTTCATTCCATTTTCTTCTGTGTAATTTGAACAAGTAATTAAGGCATTTTAATAGCTATTCTAAAGGTTCTAGCAGTGGGTCTGGAAGCCCATTTTCCATCCTCCCTGGACCAGTTGGTTTTGGAAGGAAAGGCAATTTGTGGTTCCCAAAAGGTGTGTCCCACTGACTACTCTTAAAATGGAGAGTCCCACCCCCTACTGTTAAAATGTAGGGTCTCACCTCCGCACTACTTCATTATGGAGCCATAAATTTCAATAAAGGGGGAGGTCCCATGGGGGCACATTGAAAACCTGTGAAGAGGTGCAATTTAGAAGAACATTTTGTATCAGTACGTATAACATTTTGGCAAGACTCGTATTTATATCCTAAATTCTTTGAAGACAACTCAAAACTCTGTGGTTTTATACCACTGTATTGTCCATGTCTCATTGTTGGTTCTCTTTTCGTGTTCTTGAAATAGAGTTGTTGTTTTTTTTTAAACCCACCCCACAACAGGTAACAAACTTAGATGACTTGTGTGGTTTTTTTTGTCACATATGAAATAGTCACAACAATCAACACAATTCTGATTAAAGAAAGAACTCTGTTTTTAATAGTGTTTTTTTGATCATTAAAAAAGTTTAAACCTGCATAGCAATCATTTCAAAAAAATAATTATTTAATGTTCCATAATGAAACTGTACACAACCTAGTCTTTGAGCGACCTGCAGCCCGTGAGGTGGTTTTGAAGCAGTCCAGCGCAATGTGTTTTCCTTTGAGCCAGCGCTAGTTGGCTTTTCCATTGGCATATTGAGCAATTTTGTGTGTGTTTTTGTCAGTTTGTTCCTGGTACAGTCTGGCTCCCAAGAGTCAGTGGCTTTGTGCTGGGTGACGTGAACAGTCCGTTTCCCCAACCTGCCCCCTCCCCTCGGCAGGGCTCCTCAAAGTCGTTCAATGTCTCGATATTTCTTCCTCAGGATGGAGACTTGATCTTTAAAGAGCACGGGATCAAGCCTCATCTGAGAATGGATCAGCGGCATATAGCCAAACCAGCTGGCAAAAGTGTTCATGCAGCTTTGCCTCTGAGCAAAGTGGTCTGGGTCAGCCCACCGAGACGCCCGGGAAGTCTGAAAGAGAAACATGCAAAACAAAAAGAAAGGGAGAGGGAGAAAGGAAGAAACATTAGCAACAGGTCTCCAGTGGTTCAATTAATGCATCCAGCAGTGGGCAAACTGTGGCTAACAATAAAACATACAACAATGCTAACTGAAACAATGTTAATACATTAATATAAATATATTTTAAAAAGTAATTAAACCATGTCATTGCAACCATTAAATATTAAAATGTCAATATTAAGTATTAATCGTAAATATTAAAATGATAGCAGAGAAGTATTTTTACTTGCCGCTGAAAGGCAGCCAGGGATGGAGCTATCCTGGCCTCTCTAGGGAGGGAGTTTCAAAGTTTGGGAAGATCACAGTGTTCTAATTGATTCATAATAAAGAGAATCTGGATCCAAGCCATTGCATAGGTTAAAATGAGCACTATGAATTGTTCCCCAGAAACAAGCATGCAGTCAACTGAGTTGTTGCAACAGGAAGTTGTGAGCTCTCGGTAGTCAGTTCCAGTTAATAATGGCTAAACATCAAGTCCCATCATCCTGACCACAGATTGTTCTGTCATAGACAAAGGGAGCCTAAAAACATTTAGAAGTTCAATGTATTGTTGAAGGCCAGAATCATTGGATTGTTGTGAATTTTTCGGGCTGTATGGCCATGGTTTTAGAAGCATTCTCTCCTGATGTTTTGCCTACATCTATGGCAAGCATCCTCAGAGGTTGTGGAGTTGTGCATCTATGGCAGGCATCCTCAGACCAATTATTGTCTATGGAAACACACTGGGTGACCTTGGTTGAATGAGACACTCTCATCCCCAGAAAACCCTTTGATAGGTTCACCTGTCACCATACATCAGAATCAACTTGAAGGCATACAATAACAAATTCCTTGATGGTATCCTCTCTAAATAAGAACAAGACCTGGCACTGGTTGGCTTCCAAGATCAGATACTATCTGGTGCCTTTCGGGTATGTTTGTACCAAGGGTTTATTTTGGTTCAGTCCTTCATGTAAACGTCAAAATGCAGGGATCCCCATGCAGAGGTGGGTAAGGGAAGGACAGAGCACAGCAGAGCAACTAAATGTGCTACTGGAAGGAGCAAGCTTTTGCTGCTTGCTGAGCAAAGAACTCTAGCTCGCACAGCTCTTCGTAATTTCTCTGCCAACTGTATCAGCAAAATATACTTACTCCACAGGCTCTCTGGGGAGCTTATTTGCAAGGGTGTTCTGGTCTTCTTAAAGCAGGAATGGAATCATGCAGCTTTTTAGACACTGTTGGGATTGCAATGCCTAGCATTCCTATTGGCTGTTCTAGATGAGGATGCTGGCTTCTTTGGTCCAACATCATCTGAAAGACTGCGTAATTTCCAGACCTGCTGTAAACAGTCTAATCTAAGGGTTGTTGTGAGTTTTCCTGGCTGCATGGCCATGTTCCAGAAGCATTCTCTCCTGATGTTTCGCCTGCACCTATGGCAGGCATCCTCAGAGGCTGTGAGGTCTGTTAGAAACTAGGAAAATGGGGTTTACATATCTGTGCAATGTCCAATGTGGGAGAAAGAACTCTTGTCTGTTGGAGGTAGGAGTGAATGTTTCAACTTGCCACCTTGATTAGCATTTAATGCCACAGGCAGTAAGAAGCCAGACCTTGAAACTGCTAGGCCATTAAATGCTAATCAAGGTGGCCAATTGAAACATTCACACTTGCCTCAAACAAACAGTTTTTTCTCCCACCCTGGACATTCCACAGATATATAAACCCAATTTTCCTAGTTTTCAACAGACCTCACAAACACTGAGGATGCCTGCCATAGATGCAGGCAAAACATCAGGAGACAATGCTTCTGGAAAATGGCCCTACAGCCTGAAAAACGTACAACAACCAGGTGAGTCTGGCCATGAAAGCCTTTGACAATATAGTCTAATCTTATCCATAGGTGGGCTGCATTTATCCCTAAACACCCAGAGATTTAACTGCAACTGGAAACAAAATAAATGTGCTTAGAATTAAATATTGTTTTCTGTTTACAAGAATCTAATGGAGGCCAAAGTAATCCATAAAATTTTCCCACATAATAATCCCCTCCTGGTTAACCCTCTCTTTATTTCAAAATATAATATAGACACGCGGGGATTCATTCCAAGGGACTCATAAGCATACCATAAGTCAACAGATGACTTGAAGGCACACATACACAACATGTCATGTTTGATATAAGTCCATTCAATATTAGCCTTCTTTAAACTGAGGTTGTTTTGGATTTACAAATCCCATCAAGCCCAGTCAGAAGGGGTGTTGCGAACTGTCATCCAATGGATTAACATTTCTTTAAGGTGTTGACAACCCCAATAAGTTTCTTTAAAAAGAAATATCACCATTAAATAGTGGCTTGCCATGTTTTATTGGATACAATAAAAGCTGGTCTGCTTTGCTGACAAAGCACAACCCAGCAGTTGCCTTCAGGTCAGCGATCTGAGTCTAAAAATCATTGGCTCTGCTAGAAATAAATGCTGGCTTGCCTCCGGTGAACAGAAAGGTCTGTTGGTTGTAAAACCTGAAGCTATACAACTAATGTGATTCTGAGAATGTACACTGATTTTTGGTGTGAAAATGCCTCCTCTTCTTGGAAGTTGGTCGCTCAGAATTCAGAATTGACTAAGGATGTTTTCACCCTCGAGTAATTTGATAGCACTTCAAATGCTATGGCTACATAGTTTGTGGAAGTACTCGGTTCCTAGACCTCTCTAATGGAAAATATTGTCTTGATGTACTTAAGAAAATGTCTCATTATACAATTTCCATAAGATGAAGCCATGGCAATTAACATGATATGAAATCTCATGTAACTGTAGTTTTTTTTCTCCCGTGACAGGAGCTACTTGAGAAACTGCAAGTGGCTGCCTGCAAGGACATTGCCCAGGGGACGCCTGGATGTTTTGATGCATTACCATCCTCATGGGAGGTTTCTCTCACATTCCTTCATGGGAAGCTGGAGCTGACAGGGGGAGCTCATCCGTGCTCTCCCAAGATTCAAACCTCCGACCTGTCGGTCTTCAGTCCTGCTGGCACAAGGGTTTAACCCACTGCACCACTGGGGGCTCCTAACTGTAGTGTGGATGCATCACAAATTAATCTCTTCCCACTTTGAACTTGATAGAGACGGAAACCTGAGGGGCTAGACATCTACAACTGACAAGGTTTAGCAAAATAACTTTTGGATTATAACTCCCAGTTGTCATACTAGTTGGGAGATTCTGGGACCTGTTGTACAAATAGTAAGCTTTCTCAAAGTTGGCAGAGAAAACCACATGCCTGAGAAGAGTAGAGCATCATCATTCCTTCAACAATATTGATATGATGTCAATTTCTGTTACCATTTTGAGAGAGATTACAGAGGAAAACAGAGAAGTTTGGATATACTGTGTCTGTATGAAGATATGGTCTGTGGGGGTCTGGAAGTAGCCCCTGTTATCCATATAGTTGCTTACTCCTGTGTTATATATTCCAGGGAAGAGTGAATCCAAGAGCTGTTTGCATCTCTGCTTATGAAGATGAAAAACAGTGATGCAGAGAGTTTCTTGGGGTAATGCTAGGGACCAGACTGGAACTTTCTATGGTTTGGACTGCAATCCTAAACTTTAATATCCATCTAATGTGGTGAGATAAGAGAGCTGAAACTTAGTTTGGGGAGGTCCAGAGAAAGTTGTAGCTGAATTGTAGATATGTCCTTGGCATGCCAAAATTCCATGTCTTCATCTAACATCAGAGCTGGAAAAGTCCTCTTTCCTCAACTTCTGGAGGGCCTCTGCCAGTCAGAGTTAAAAACATGGAACCAGAAGGATCGAAGTTTATTATGTTCAAAGGTGTGCTCAATTGAAGTTTTGTATGTTGACTCTGGGATACCTAGTGTCTTTCAGACTAACTCATGTAGGAAATGCAATAAATCCAAACTGAACTTGATTCCATTGTCTGTCTTATTGTAGTTTTGATTCTAAACAAATCACCTTTTATCCCAAATCCAAATTCATTTACTGCATTTGCATGTAATGCTAAAACAAGAAGTAATGTTATGGGGACAAGCAACAATGGTGCTAGGAATGGCCACAAGGATGAGTTTGGAAGCTTTTAGTTCTGATTTAAGATTATTCTCAGTTTACTGTGACATCCAGCTTTGGACAAACTGAGGTTAGACTTAACCATGACTGGTTGAGACAATCCAACTTGAACCTGTAGTTTATCAAACTGGGAAGCCCCTGTGGTGCAGTGAGTTAAAGCACTGAGCTGCTGGACTTGTTGACTGAAAGGTCTCAGGTTGGAATCCAGGTAGCAGCGTGAGCTCCCGCTGTCAACCCCAGCTTCTGCCAACCTAGCAGTTCGAAAACATGCAAATGTGAGTAGATCAATAGGTCTCTTCTTAGGCGATCCCTCGTTGTCCGAGTAGGATTGTCTTCCAAGATCGGTGTCCTGGCGGTGGGTCGGTAGGTAACTGTGGAGCCCTATTTTTGATTTGCATGTTCTCCTGCAGTGAGGGCATTGGTTTCCAGGTGGAAGGCAGTCCCGGTCGGGGTTGGCTTGACACGCCTTCCTCTTGGCACATTTCTCCTTTTCTCCCTCCATTTGTGCCTCTTCAAATTCTACAGCACTGCTGGTCACAGCTGGCCTCCAACTGGAGTGCTTAAGGGCCAGTGCTTCCCAGTTCTCAGTGTCTATGCAAGAGTTTTTAAGGTTGGCTTTGAGCCCATCTTTAAATCTCTTTTTCTGACCACCAACATTCRGTTTTCCATTCTTGAGTTTGGAGTAGAGCTTGTCTTCCCAAGAGATTTACAGGATTTTTTTGGAGGCAACGCTGATGGAATCATTCTAGGAGTTGCATGTGATGTCTGTAGATAGTCCACYTCTCTCAGGCGTATAGCAGTGGGAAGGTAGTGGCACTCCATGCAGTCATGCGGGCCACATGACTTTGGAGGTGTCTACGGATCACAACGGCTCTTTGGCTTAGAAATGGAGATGAGCACCAACCCCCAGAGTCGGACACGACTGGACTTAATGTCAGGGGAAAGCCTTTACGATCAAACTGGCTTGTTTTCACTTACTATAGCAAAGGTTGGTCACAGTTTGGAGAACAGATACATGCTTAATTTAAAAAACATCCCCATGACTTACACATAGCTAAGACAGAGTAGAGGGCAAAGTGGGAGTACATTTGTCTTGGGGTTGTTGCAACTTGGCCTTGTAATGCTAAACTATAGTTTAACCTTTGTGTGTGAAGCAGGCTACTAAGATTCAGTGTTGAGAATGAAACTGAAACATCTTTACCGTGAAAAGGCTTTTTTGACCCTGCAAGTTTTAGTTGTTTGAAAAGTAAATCCTCTTTAAAAGAGAGCAATATGAGAAAATAATTCTAGTTTAAGCACCATCTCCTGAGCAAAAGCCAGATTATTTCTCTTCCTCTTGGTTTTCATAAATCAATGACACCTTATATGTGGGCAGCAGCTTCCAGATTTAGCCAACACAGAACTGGAGGTCTGCTCAAACAGATGATACCATACATAGCGTCCCCACATCCTTTTGGGCAGGCAGAGAGACAATTCTAAAGTGTTCTTTTCAGTTCCTTAGGGAAAGTGCCCTGAAATAATCATTTCGAAAATAGAAAATTGCATCTGTTGCAGCCGACTTGAAGAATGTTCCTCCTCGTCTTGGTTGATGACGATGGGAGGGTATTTTTAAACAACAGAAAGATCTCATGTTTGTTAAATGGATTCAGTTGCAGGGTGTTGAGAAAATAAGAGGGAGTTCTGGTCTTATTTTAGACTTGCAGATTGTTGCTGTTAAAAATGGCAAACAATTGGCCATGTAAGGAAAACTTAGTCAATCAGATGAAAAATGTTTCATTTCCTCTCTACCTCCTTAAATGATAAAACTCTGACATGTATGATGTCCATAGCTGATAGGGAAACTGGCTTTCAAGTGAGGATATCCTACCTAAACCATTTACATGATAATTGCAGTTAGCATTTAATGACAGTCTTATTTGTTACTGCATTTTCAAAGAATCACAATTGTTTTATGAAATTGTGGCACTGCCCAATATCAAGCTGGCAACCAGGAAACAAGACAACCAACATCCATTTGCTTATCAGTGATAAATCTGAAACAGGTCTGTTCAGACGTACTTGCACATCTCTTCATTAATGTGTATTTGAAAATAAGTATCTCTGACGTGGGCCAAAAGTAACAAAATGAACTTCAACAGTGACAAATGCAAGATACTCCACTTAGGCAGAAAAAATGAAATGCAAAGATACAGGATGGGGGACGCCTGGCTCGAGAGCAGCACATGTGAAATAGATCTTGGAGTCCTCGTTGGCTCTTTAAACATGAGCCAACAATGCCATGCGGCAGCTAAAAATGCCAATGGGATTTTGGCCTGCATCAATAGGAGTATAGTTTCTAGATTCAGGGAAGCCATGCTACCCCTCTATTCTGTCTTGGTCCAACCACACCTGGAATAGTGTGTCCAATTCTGGGCACCACAGTTGAAGGGAAATATTGACAAGCTGGTATGTGCCCAGAGGAGGGCATCTAAAATGATCAAGGGTCTGGAGACCATGCCCTAAGAGGAGTGCCTTAAAGTTCTGGGCACATTTAGCCTGCAGAAGAGAAGGCTGAGAGGAGACATGATGAGGGCCATGTACAGCTATGTGAGGGGAAGTCATAGGGAGGAGGGAGCAGGCTTGTTTTCTTCTGCCTGGAGACAAGGTCACAGAACAATGGCTTCAAACTACAGGAAAGGGGATTCCACCTGACTGTGAGAGCTGTTCAGCAGTGAAACTCTCTGCCCTGGAGTGTGGTGGAGGCTCCTTCTTTGGAGGTTTTTAAACAGAGGCTGAATGGCCATCTGTCAGGGACGCTTTGAATACGATTTTCCTGCTTCTTGGCAGAGGGGTTGGACTAGATGGCCCACAAGGTCTCTTCTAACTCTATGATTCTATGATGTGCTGCAAATGGGAACACCAACTCTTATCACATTCAGAATGAGAATTTGGCTAGTATAAACAAACCAGTCACAACATCAAAGTAGTTTTTAGACATATACCTGTCCCATCATGGTTTCTTTATACTGTTTTTTCTGTGTTACTTTGATTGGAGGCAATTTTGTCACAGCGGACACCAAAAAGTTCATCAAAATGTCTTCACAATTGGCCAGTTGGTCCACCATATTCTTCAGGCTGGCAGGCAGGTAATGAGTGTACAGGTAGTGATAATATCTGGAAAACAAAACAACCAATTAGACTGTAATGCTCTTTTATAGATCAGAACCAAGCCAGTGGTAGAATGTACAGAAATAAAAGAAGCTGACTTAGAAAAGGAGGAAAGGTGGGTTTTTACTTCTTAAGCACTTTATGACTGCCGTAAGATTCAATGCCTTGAGCTGGGACAAACCACCTAGACAATGTGAACACTAGACTTCTTTTCTGAATGAAAATAAGGATAAATAAATCCCACAGATTTTTCCCTGCTGTGGAGAAAGAGAATATTGTCATGCACTCCCCCACCATTCTGATTTCTGCTCTGGTATAAACACATTCTGAAGTGTTTCAGGAATTATTATATGCAGAAGCAAACATGGTTTTTGCATGGGCATTGTGGGGGATTGTGCAAAAAAACAACACCGGAAACCATTTCTATACAGCTATGTGTGTGTGAAAGATCACTGTGTTCTATATAAGTTAATAGATATTAAAATTAAAAAAAATCTTATGTCAAAAGTAGTCAGTTTGCACAACTAAACCATGTACATACCTATTGGGGATTACTATTTTTGGCCAATTTTTTGAGTGATACCAGCAAGTGAAAGATGTGCAATATTACATCAATTGTACTGTAATTTATTTTTATATTATATGTTAACAGCTTGATATAAAATTATAATTATGATAAATTACTGTATATGTATCCTTCCTTCCTTCCTTCCTTCCTTCCTTCCTTCCTTCCTTCCTTCCTTCCTTCCTTCCTTCCTTCCTTCCTTCCTTCCTTCCTTCCTTCCTTCTCTCCTAAATTATCTGGAGATCTAAGATAGTAAGAATATTCTCCCCCATTAAAAAGCACCACAAACTGTTTGGAAGACCTTGCAAATATGTGATGGGCATTTAAGTTGAGACCATCAATGAATATTCATGCAAAGTGGTTCATTTTCCAGTTTGCAATGCAAGTCAAGCCCCTTCTTTCCTCCTGTGTCCTGCTAGCAAGCATGGCATCTGAATGCACAACTGGAAGAAGGAAAGGCTCTGCTTTCACTTCTATTTACTTAGGGAATTGAGAAAGGAAAGGCTCTGGGACACAAGACTACTACTACTACTACAGACAGACATATTTCTGAAAATGGGTTTGCTATCCATGAATTTACTGCCTAATTATGTATATTGTCAATGTTCTCAACTGAGGTGAGAATGTGTGGCCTTCCAGATGTTGATGGACTGTATGTCCCATCATCCCTACCTACTGGCTGGACAGGATAACCATTGAGGTCTCTTCCAACACTATGATTTTAAGTCTTTTTTAAAAAGGTGATCTGAAGATTGGCAATTGTCTGCCATTTTAAAACCTGACTACTGATGCTGTGAAGGTCATGGAAAGATTCATTCACATGGAGCTCCAGAAGTGAATGAACTGCAACGTAGAGAATATCAAATAATGCAGGGAGTTGGAAGTCCAACAACATCTAGATTGGGTCTGTTAACTTCGGTGGGGAGGAATCAAGGGTCTTTAACCCGTGAAATCTGTGCACTTGGGATTTGGGGAAATACATCTCTATTTTCACTACTCTATCTGAAATCTAGCATTTCCTTCAAATAAGAATGTAGGCAAAAAGCTCAGAAATATAACTAGTGTCTGTGATTTCAAAATCCACAAAAATTACATGTTTTCATATAACATTAAAACAGGTGTTGAAGATACATCAAAATATTGTTTACGGTGTTAGAAGTTCAACAAGTTTCAACAGACTGTCTAATGGGTCCATGGCACAAAAATTATAAAATCTGAATGATTTAGACTATTTTCCCTCCAGTTTTAAGAGCTGGAGGCTATTAAAGGGATAGCGGAGGAGAGGATAGGAGATTTGGTATTAGAAGACTATGGGCCCTTCCAGGCAGTCCCTATATCCCAGGATCTGATCCCAGGTTTTCTGATTATCACAGATTATTTGGCAGTGGGGACTCATATAATCAAGTTTAAAGCAGAAAACCTGGGATCAGATCCTGGGATATAGACACTGTCTGCAAGTGCCTTATGAGGTACACCATGAGTGAAGGAGGGAAATAGGTTTGATCTAATATTGGAAAATTATGAGTTCCTACCAGTGGTTCTCAACCTGGGGTCCCCATATGTTTTTGGCTTACAACTCCCAGAAATCCCAGACAGTTTACCAGCTGTCAGGATTTCTGGGAGTTGAAGGCCAAAAACATCTGGGGACCCCAGGTTGAGAACCACTACCCAAGGAGATTGATCTTATTTATATGCCACCAGTTCTCAATTTACCAGAATTCAAGCAACCAGAACTCTCAACCCACCAGCAATTTTTAAAAGAAATATTTTAAAAATAAAAAGATTCTTTTATAATGCATCAAAATAGCAAAGCTGTGTTACACCAAGTTACATTTGTCTTTATTTGCTTTTAATTACTGTTTTCCAATATTAAGTCAACACAGAGTTCATGGTATGATACAGTATTAGTTAGACCTATTTTAATAGGAACTCTCAAGCAACCAGAAACTACATTTTTCTGGCTTCTATCAATCCCCATGAGTGCCAATTAATTGAATGTCTACCTCACAACCTCTGAGGATGCCTGCCATTGATGCAGGCAAAACATCAGAAGAGAATGCTTCCAGAACATGGCCATACAGCCTGAAAAACCTACAACGACCCTCTACCCTAGTTTTTTTTTCCCTGTAGATCTAAGAAAAATGAGAATATGTAGTAAGGCCCTTGTATCTGTGTGGGATATGTTGGACTCCATGTGGATATGCAAAACAGTGAATAAGAACAAACTATATTGAAATGAAGGATTTCCAACCCAAGAATGCCATAGAATTGCACTAGAAAATGCCCAGAGAACATGCATTTTTTCCGGCATGGATAAATGAAACCATGGATATTTTCCCCATGGATAACAGGGAACATACTGTATCGGAAACCAAGTGAAATTTTATTCTTTGAAATAAGAAGAAAGAAAAATCAAATTGTTGAAAGCTAATCTGAAACAAAAAGGAGCCCCCCTTTCATTGTTTTCTTTCTTCAGTTGAACCCAACAAATGAACAGCTGTGCTTGTAAATGACTGCAAAGTGCCAGAACAAGGTCTCTCGAACTCTTAAAGACATGGTTTTAATAGGTGCAATCCTCCCAATTCTTACTTGTGGTAAATAGCAGCTCCGGTCAATACCATGGAATAGTCATTAGTCCATTTCGACGTGTAGCCCCATCTCTCCTTAGTGTTATCCCAAAAATGGCTACGGGCAGGATAGCCAACAATCCTCTCTGGAAAGCTCTGCCAAACTGTAAAGGCAAAATCCACCTGCAGGCAAGAAAACCCAAAACTGAACATATGTGGCAAACTGTAATCAAAGAGGCTCAAAAATGTCAGCAAAACAAAATATTACCTTTTCACTAATTCATAATTTGCAATCTTGGAACTGTTGCAAAACATTAATTCTCTGTATTCATCAGTAAATTAAACTGACTGCTTGACATTTTGCCCTGTAATTATGCACATTTTAATGTTTTCCTGTTAACAGGAGCCGAGAGCTCCAGAGAATCGCATTAACATTTTGCGGGCTTGACTTCTGCAAAGGAAAAGTTTAACAACTAGTAGAGAATTGTGTGAGCATGGGGACTGAGGGCTTTCTGGAGTGAACAAAAAAGTTGTCATTCGTTACCAGTGGGTGCTGATAAGAGATTACAAAGGATGATTTGGATAAATGAGTTCTAGAACCTATTTCTTCCAAACCGCCCATTTCAAAAAACTCTCTTAGGTTTGCTTCAGTAGAGAAGAAGACAGTGGAAAATATGGGACTGTCTTGAACAGACACCATGATGCATTCTCCTGATATCTTATGAGGATCTGATAGTACAGTAGTTCTCAACCTGGGGTCCCCAGATGGTTTTGGCCTTCAACTCCCAGAAATCCTAACAGCTGGTAAACTGACTGGGATTTCTGGGAGTTGTAGGCAAAAAAAATCTGGGGACCCCAGGTTGAGAACCACTGTGGTAGTATATTATGGAGCTAGTTTGAGATTCAGCACACAAAATTTCATACAAGTTCTACAAAACCTTTAAGGAAGCTTCATTCTGAAATGAGGGCAGACATTGAAGATACACAGCCTTTTGTATACAGTGGGTTTTTGGTTCCAGGACCCCTATGGAAATCAAATTCTGCAGATGCTCAAGTTCCATTGCATACAATGGCAAAGTAAAATGGTCTTCCTTATACAAAAATAAAGGTTTTCTTTGTGGATTTTGGAAAGGGAATATTTTCAAGCTATGGACTATAAATTCTACTCCAGGGATGTAGAATTTATGGATACAGAGAACTCACTGTATTTCTGTAATTCCTATCAGTCCTAGCCAGTGATTATCCTGACTAGAGCTGTATGTCATGTATTTCAATTTTTATGATAATATTTTAATTAGATTAATAGTTATTGCTTTTTAATATTTTGTAACATATAGTGTTAAGCATGTTGTTTTAACCTGTGTTCTTGGCTGCTTGGGTTCCACATTGGGACAAAGACAGGATATAGATCAAATAAATACATCCAGTGTGCTGGCTATGACTTGTAAAGTCTTTAAATTAAAAGTGTTGGGCATGACCTTTAAAGCTCTGCTCGGTTTGGATCCAGACTATCATAAAAATAAAATCTCCTAAATGAGTCTGTTCAAAGAGGACACAAGAGAGAGCCTTCTTGGTGGTTGCTCCCAAGTGGTAAAACTCCTTCCCATAGGAAATCTGGCTGACCCATCAACTACTGTATTTTTACTGGATTATACAGTTACATTTACACATATATGATTGTCTAGTATAGGCAGTCTCTGAGTTACAAACATCCGAATTACAAACAACTCATAGTTAAGAATGGAGACGAAACAACAGGAAGTGAGAGAAATCTACCCCTAGGAAGGGAAATGCACTCCTGAAAGAGTTATCATGGAGGAAAGGTATCTCCACTGAAGCTTTCTCACCAATCATTGTTTCCATAACAAGCCTCTGCCCCCCCCCCCCCCCCCCGGAGTTACACATAAAAATGTTCTGACTTAGACACAGATTCAACTTAAGAACAAATCTACATAACCTATCCTATTTATAACTTGAGAACTGCCTGTACTTTAGAGGAAACTGATGTTTGTTTGGTTAAATGCTGCAAGTCGCTTCTGGTGTGAGAGACATTGCCCAGGGGATGTGTTACAATTCTGCAGGGAGACTTCTCTTATGCCCCTACACCACTGGAGAAATTACACTGTTTAGCTGGTATTGCACCACCTGACATCTGCTGGGAAGTAGCAGCCAGCAATGAAAGGACCCAGACATCGAAATATTTGGTCCATCCCCTGTTCGGATATCAGCCAGCATGCCAATGCCTTAAATCAAGAAGCAGCTTCCTATGATCTACAGAGATACCTGCAGGAACACCTCAGCAAGCAAGAGTCCAAAAGTGGCAGGCTAACACCCAGCACCTCAATCAGTGGCTGAGACCGAATGAGAAACTCCCTGCTGAGCACACAGAAGAGTGGACGACCGGGAAGGAACTGAACAGACTGTGCTCTGGCATGAGATGCAGAGGTAATCTTAAGAAATGGGACTACAAAGTGGTCTACGACATGTGAGTGTGGAGAAGAGCAAACCACAAACTACCTACTACAATGCAACCTGAGCCCTGCCACATGCACAAAGGAGGACCTTCTCACAGTGACACCAGAGGCACTCTAAGTGGCCAGCTTCTGGTCAAAGGACATTTAGCATAATGCCAAGGTTTTTTTAACTTTGAGTTTTTAAACACATTTTAACTATACCCTCAACTCACTTGTGACATGATAAATAAATAAATAAGATGAGATTGAATTTTTTAAATGAGAGGGTGAATTATTTTTATTTCATTATTCCATCTTGGATTCTGGGTTTGGGGAAAGGCAAAAATAATACATAATAGGGAAAAAAAACACACGTGTTTTCCATCCTTGCATTATGGATATGCAATTGTACTAGATTTGGCTCTTTTTTAAAAAAAAATGAAAGAAAACAGATCGATCCTTTAGCCTCCTTCCTGCCTTCCTTTGCTTTGCAATTATTATCAGACTTTCCTAAACTGAACGTTATTTTGAGAAAATGAAGGAAGGCATATATATCCTGAAGCACGGCAGTTTTTGGACACGTTCTTATCTTTTAAGTTGTTTCAAGTGACATACAATGTTCCTTCAGAAGGCAGTTCAGACAAAATAGTTCTTCCTGCAGCACCTCTGATCACATCCAAATCATTAATATGTCAGAAAACCAACGGTCATCTTGAAACCCTTGGCTATAAAATCTGACATCTGTTTTCTAGGAAGGATGAAAGTCCAACTCCGGGGAGTGAAAGGCTGCACTGCCTATAGCAGCAAAAAGGAGGAGGACTACAGCAAACACTGAATCTCGGTTTAGAGCAAAAGAATCTATTTCAATGGGGAAAATCCACATGAAATAATGCACAGGTGCTACGGCTCAGTAGCGTTTCTCTGCAATTTAATCCACTGCACCACCAGGGTTTTTTTTTTCCAAAGTTTGAAAAAAAAGGGTTTTTTTAATTGGAACCTGCCGGCCCCTCAACAGATTCACAAAATTGTGGAGTTGAAGTAGACTCCAGTAACCATCCAGACAAGCTCCATTTTGCAATGTAAAAATACATGCCCAAAGGACACAACCTAGTCTCTGTTTAAAAACCTCAAGAGAAGAAGACTACCTCACTCCAAGACAGCATACTCAACTGTCAAACAGCTCATACCATCAAGACTTTTTTCCTAATATTCAGGGGGAATCCACTGCTGCATGATTTAGTCTCTGCAGCATCAGAAAACAAGTTTGCTGCCTCCTCAATATGACATCATTCAATGTTTAAATATAACTATCATGTCCCCTCTCAGCCTGCTCTTCTCCAATCCAAACATATCCAGCTCCATAAACCACTTCTCATGAGGTTCGGCTTCCATATTTTTGGTCAGGGTCCTTCTCTGGACATGTTCCTGCCTGTCAATGTTCTACCTGAACTCTGTTTCTAAGAACTAGACATTGTGTTCCAGGTGAGTTCTGACCAAACCAGAATTGGGTGATATTTTTACTTCCCTTGACTCTAGGAGTTGTAGTCCAAAAGGCAACTTTTCCAAGCACGAGTTTTTGCCAAGATAAATACTGTATGTGTGTCACATTCTCCCTTTAGTTTAATTATGAAACTTCCTAGCAAGAACTGCTCTGTACATTACTCTCACAGTACCCTCCGGTGCTAAATGAATGTTAAATATCAATGGAGAAGACCTGTTCTGTGCCAATCACATAGCCTCATTTCTCGCTGAAGCTGATGCTCAGAAGCAATGAAACTGGAGCGATGCAAGGCACGGTGGCAGCGGTGAAGAGAAAATCTGCCAGTTTCTTAAGGCCGCTTTTCATTTCCCTAAACCCACACTGACTTCTAATTATGACACCGATACCTGTCCCTCCCAGCATGCAAGATGGGACTTTGGACTCTTACCCAGAGGAATAGTGGGCCTTAATCCTTCATTTCATTCTGAATGAAAAGGCTAAAACCTTCATTAATGTTAAAAAATTTGAAAGAACAGAGGAAACCATCTGGGGCTTTTTGCAAGTTTTATCATGCATATTTGAAAACAGGTTTCAAATGAGAAAACATAATCAAATGTTACAATGGATGGTCATGGGAAGTATTCACTTGCTTTCTGTTTTTCTCTCTCCAGATAAGTGGGTTTAGGTGAGAAATTCCAGAAGATTTGAAACATGGAACCTCAAAACCAATGGCTGTAGGTTCAAATCATGAGCAAGAAGCAGCGATAACAATAGGCTTGAAGACGGCTGAATCCAGGTTCAATTAAATATACTAAAATCAATAAGGACTATGTTAAATCATGGCAAACCTATGCTACTCGTACATATTGGATCTCTACCGTTTCAATCATTTAACTCGTGTTTTCATACCGTGTGTTTCATTCGGATGGCACAAAATAGTACAACCCCTCTGGCACGGAAATATCAGTGATACAAAAGGAAAGTGGGAATGTAACCATTAGGTCGCCTGATTTTCAGTGTGTGTGGTGTGCAGACCCAGAAAGCACCATGCCTGCAGGTGCCTAAAACATGCAGGTGTGGGAAGCCCGCCCATTGCCGCCAATAGGATGAAAATATTCGTTTTTCAGACCTGGGATGAAAAAGTTCATTTGGAAAGGCACCTGTTTTTAGGAGAGGCTGTCAAAAACGAAAATGGGGCCTTACAAAGGCTAATAGCAATGCTTGCTATCCAGAATTTCAACATGAAGAAG